GAAGGGTCTAGGCCCGAAACGTCAGCCTCTCTGCTCCTGTGATGCTGCTTGGCCTGCTGTGTTCATCCAGCCCTGCACCTTGTTGTCTCACATTGCTGTGGGTCTGGAGCCACCTGTAGACCAAACTGCACAAGGACATCAGATTTCTATCCCTTAAGTTGGTTGGCTGAGGCAGCTGGGTTTTTACAATAATCCATGGTCATTTTGTAGTCACTGACATGGAGACTAATTTTCAATTTAAGAATTAATAATTGAATGTAAATTCCACAGCTGGCAAGGTGGGATTTAAAGCTTTGTACCTGGACCATTAGCCTGGGCCTTTACTGCTGGTCCGGTGACATGACTGGGTGTGGACTTTGCCCTGCTGAAAGATGGTTGTGAGCTGTTGCAGTCTGTGTGATGTAGTGCTGTTAGGGAGCAAGTTCCAGGACTCTGACCACCCAGCAACACCAAAGGAACAATGATACAGTTCCAGGTCGGGATGGTGTGTGACTTCAAGGTTGTAACTTCAGAAGACCAGTAGCTAGTTTCTGCACAGGAAGATCCCACAAACAGCAACATATTCAGATGCAGATCTGAGCCAGATGGGTTTTACAACAGTCAATGATAATTTTGAAGTCATCTTCATGACGACTAGCTTTTTTCAGTCAGGTTTGTTGACAGATTAAACGCTAGTCCCAGGACACTGGCAGAGATCTCCTGCTTGCTTTCAAAAATGATGTAGTTTTGACATCAATGTCTACATGAATGTGATCCTATGGTGATTTTGTGACAGAAGCGAGGAGATATATGAACCCGGTTCAGTGTGTTTGTTTGGTAACAAACATAGCAGCAGCAGTCCTGTTGTGTGATATACTAAGAGGCAGCTAGATAGGTACGTGACAGAGAAAGGAAGATAAGATTATTCTTGTTTTGTTTATTTATTCATTTGTGGGATTGTGGTCATCACGGCTGGCCAGCATTTATTGCCTGTCCCTAGTTGCCCCTTGAGAAGGTGGTGATGAGCTGCCTTCTTGAACTGGGCAGTCCACTTGCTGTGGGTTGACCCACATTAGGAAGGGAATTCCAGGATTTTGACCCAGCAACGGTGAAAGACCGGCAATATATTTCCAAGTCAGGATGGTGAGTGCCTTGGAGGGCAACTTGATGGTGGTGGTGTTCCCATATATCGACTTCCCTTGTTCTATATGGTAGTGGTTGTGGGCTTGGAAAGTGCTTTCTTTGAATTTCTGCAGTGCATCTTGTAGATAGTACACACTGCTGCTACTGAGCGTCGGTGGTGGAGGGAGTCGATGCTTCTGGATGTTGTGCCAATCAAACAGGCTGCTTTGTCCTGGATGGTGACAAGCTTCTTGAGCGTTGTTGGAGCTACACTCATCCACTATGTCCCATGGTCAGTATGTGAGTGTACTTTTAAGAGACTTGCTAATAATATCATCATTGAATCACAGCATGTCTCATACTACAACTTACCTCTGATTCACCTGAAGCATCACAGTCTTCTGGAAGCATGCTGCTCAATTATACCAAATAGCTTAATATTAGCCCAGTGCCTGTTGAATGTAATGTTTGCACATAATAGTTAGTTGTAATAAATGTCCATTGGATTCTTCAATAGCCATGATATCCACCCCCGTGGGGGATAACATAATCACAGCCATATCAGAGTCTGATTCAACAGTATTTACCATCAGAGTCTTTCAGAGAGGTGTGGGACTAATTATTCTGCCCTTAGACTTTCTTTCTATCTACCTTGGTCTCAGCCTCACCTTCCCCCACCCTATGGAGAGAGTGCACTGGAGGTTTAACAAACTGATTCCTGGGATGGCAGGACTGACAAACAGACAGAAACTGCTTAGGACTATATTCACTGAAGTTTAGAAGAATGAGGCGGGTGGTGATCGCATAGAAACTTATAAAACTCTAACAGGACGAGAGGGTAAACCCTGGAAGGATATTCCCAATGACTGGGAAGTCTGGAACCAGGGGAATCATGGTCTATGGGAGTGGCATTTAGGACTGAGATGAGGAGAAATTTTTACAGCTGGGGGATGTGAGCCTGTGGAATTCTCTGTCACAGAAAGGAGTTTACACCAAATACACTGATTGTTTTCAAGAAAGAGTTTGATACAGTTCTTAGGGCTAAAAGAATCAAAGAGTGTGGGAACAAGTGGGAACAGGGGACTGAGTTGGATGCTCATATTGAATGGTGGAGCAGGCTCAAAGGGCTGAATGGCCTACTCCTGATCCTATCTTCTGTGCTTCTGTGTAAAACACCCTGCTGGAGCCACAGACACACCAATACAAGGCAAAGAGGGCAACTGATAGCTGAAGGCCGCAGCTGACCCCTTGCAAGGCCTGGGGTCACAGGTTGAGCGACACACTGAACATTTGGATGGAGCCTGAATTAGGAAAGGCCAATTGAGGAATTTTACCTTGAGGAATTTTGTTTAAAACTCCTCGGACTCTATGCACGAGAGAACGTTCAACATGGAATGTAAATGTAAAATGAAAATAGACCTGTAATTGCAACTGCAGTGAATCATCTCAGAGTGGCATGTACTGTGTTGACAAAAATTAAACAGGATTGCACCTTATCTACCGTCAAATTTAAAATGCTATGCAATGTTCTTAGACAGCTTTTATGAATAAAGTCAGAGATTAGCAAGAACTGCCGATGCTGGAGTCAGGGATAACACATTGTGGAGCTGGAGGAACACAGCAGGCCAGGCAGCATCAGAGGAGCAGGAAATGACCCGAAATGTCAACTTTCCTGCTCCTCTGATGCTGCCTGGCCTGCTGTGTTCATCCAGATCCACACTTACTTATGAATAAAGTGTATTGTTTGAAACTAAAGTTGCTCTTGAGAAGACTACGCATTAGCCAACTAATGCATTGATGTAATATTAAAGATATCAACTTGTAGCCTCTGTGCTGCAAGATAATTTGTTTGCAATTAGTGTCCAGGGGTCTATTAATGTCTTTGAAAAATCACCAAGAGCACCCTCTGATGGTGAAGGGAGATTACTACATGGCGTCGGGCAGTAATTGTGACACCTTCCAGCCAAATAGAGAAGAACCACAGAGATAGTAGGGACTGCCGATGCTGGAGCCTGAGATAACAAGGTGCAGGGCTGGAGGAACACAGCAGGCCAAGCAGCATCAGAGGAGCAGGAAGGCTGACATTTCAGGTCTGGACCCTTCTTCAGAAATGGGGGAGGGGAAGGGGGCTCTGAAATAAATAGAGAGAGAGGAGGGGGGACAGTGTTAGAAGGTGGATAGAGGAGCGGATAGGTGGAGAGGAGACGGACAGGTCAAGGAGGCAGGGATGAAGTCAGTAAAGGTGAGTGTAGGTGGGAAGTTGGGATGGGGTTGGGGGTGGGGAGATTTTGAAGCTTACTAGAGAAGAACGATAGAAAAGGTTGTGAAATGGATTAAAAGGGTGAGTCTGGAGATCACAGGTTAGAGCTGAGTGTAACCCAGTGAAATATATACGAGCTATCCCAAGGTAACGAAGAAACAACATTGTAAGAATTTGCCTCAGTATTCCTGTATTATGGAAAGATTGTTCCTGCTGTTAACTGTTGACTGGAAGTTCCTTCCAGATGTTCCTAAAGACAAAGGACTAGGACAAACTTGCCTCAGGATCATGATGCCATGCTTGGTTAAATAGTCCCTTGTTATTCACTGTCCGCAGGCAAAAGTAGAGCTGAGTCATTTGGATGAGTTACAAACCTTGGAATGCTTTGGCATAGGAGGCCATTCAGCCCACCGTTTCTGTGCTGGTAAATAAAGATCTAACCATCCTCATCCTAATTTCCAGCCCTCAGTCCACAGCCTGTTAGGTTAAAGTTCAAGTGCATACGGGAGAGATCTTTAGATGCAGCTAAGGGGCCTGCTTTACCACTCTTTCAGCAGTGAGTTCCAAACTTCCACTTCCCTCTGGGTAAAAAGGTTTCTTCGCAACCCCTCCCTAATTCTTGTACTAAATTATTTGTAATCTATGTCCTCTGATTATTCACCTCTCCACCAAGAGGAGTAGGTGCTTTCTGTCCTCACCATGCTGGCCCCTTGTGATCTTATACACCTGAGATACACACTCACCTTCAGACTTCTCTCATCCAATGAGAATTGACTCACTGATGCCTGCGAAGTTATCAGCAAAGAGAGATAGAGATATCATTAGGAATGTATTCTTGAGGATCTAAACAATATCACAAATCCTGACAGCAACAATCTATTATGAAAAATCCTCGACTAGCCTGCGTTTCAATATTGGAACTACAATTTGACTTGGAACAACGTCACTGTTCCTTCGCCATCACTGGGTTGAAATCCTGGAACTCCCTCTCTAACAGCATCGTGTGTCTCCCTACACCCCAGGAACTACAATGGTTCAGGAAGGCAGCTCTTCACCACCTTCTCCAGGGTAGTTAGGGATCAGCAATTAAATGCTGGGCCCAGCCAACGACACACCCCAACATCCCATGAATGGAATTTTTAAAAATCTCTCGATTAATGTCACAAGGACGAGTCTGAACAGAAGCGTTTCTCCTACCAGAGACAGTTTTTCATTGAGTGTAACACAGAGGAAGGAGGTGCACTGACTGTTATTACTGAATGAAATGAAGCACTGATGTTTGACTTGCCAATGGTGATCGAGCAGCCCACTAGTGGCTGAGGGAGTACATTTAACTTCAAGTCACTAATCTGTATCAAATGGCTTCACATTGGATCTCTGATTTTACTTCACAATCTGCGTCAGCCCCACTCAGCTGAGGAACAGTCCCTCCAACAACGCAGCACCCCCTTCACCACTGTATTGAAACATTAGCTCAGACTGAAATGCATGCAGGGGTAGGGGCATGAACAAGTGATGCCAACCCTCCAGGACTGGCCTGGAGTCTCCAGGACAATGTACTGCCTGGAAGTATGGTGGAAGCAGGTTCAACTGAGCCATTTAAGAGGGCATTGGATGATTGTTTGGATAGAAATAGAGGGCATGGGGAGAAAACAGGAGATTGGCATTAGGCTATGCTCATTTGAAGAACCAGTGCAGAGGTGGGAGCGTCAGCCTAAGCATGACTGTTCTCCCAAAGAACCAGAACTGGCAGGATGGACCAAACGGCCTCCTTCCATGCCATAAGGTGGGGAGGTGGTGATAACCTCATTGGACTAGTAATCCAGAAGCTCAGGCTCTTGTTCTGGGGACATAGATTCAAATCTCTCCATAGCAGACAGTGAATTCAATAATAATCCAGAATTAAAGAGCTGTATAACTATTGTAAAGTAGTAACCTGTTTACTAATGCCATTTCGGGAAGAAAATCTGCCTATGACTTTCCCATGTTCCTGGTGCCCTTGTCTTTCCAGGAGGTGGAGGTCATGGGTTTGGAAAGTGTTGTCTGAAGATCTTTGGTGAATTGCCACAACACATCTTCTAGATCGTACATGCTTTTGCGACTGAGTAATTTTTATTCACTTGTGGGACATGGGCCAACATTTATTGTCCGTCCCTACTTGCCCTTAAGAAGATGGTGATGAGCTGTCTTCTTGAACTGCTGCGCTCTATGTGCTGTAGGTAGACCCACAATGTCCTGAGGGAGGGAATTCCAGGATTTCGACCCAGCGATGCTGAAGGAACGGCAATATATTTCAAAGTCAGGATGGCTTGGAGGGGAACTTGCAGGTGATGTTGTTCCCTTGTATTTGCTGCTTTTGTCCTTCTAGATGGATGTGGTTGTAGGGTTTGGAAGGTGCTGAAGATCTTTGGTGAATTTCTACAGTGCATCTTGTAGCTGGTACAACACCACGGCTGCTGAGCGTTAGTGATAAGAGGAAAGAATGTTAAAAGTAACGGAGGGGCAGTTAATCAAGAGGGCTGCTTTATCCTGGATGGTGTTGTGTTTCTGGACCTGCACACATCCAGACAAGCGGAGTGTATTACAATGCACTCCTGACTTTATGGGACAAAGCCTGTCTTCTTTTCCAGTCTGGCCTGCAGACCCACAACTGCCCTCTGAAATGGCCTAGACAGCCAATCATCTAAGGGCAACCAGGGACGAGCAACAGATGCTGGCTTTGCTAGTGATGCCAAGATGCCATACAAGAGTAACAGAAAAATCCCAGAAACTTAGCAATTTAACGTTGTGAACGTTTTCTGAACATTGTATAAAAGATAAAATCATAAAAGAACAAGTGGATAGAAGAGTTGATTGTTAGCAAACATCCAGCTTGATACCATGGATGAAACATTACAGCAAGAATATAAATTTTGGGGGCATATTAGTCTACAATATGTCAAACGTCAGCCTTCCTGCTCCTCTGATGCTGCTTGGCCTGCTGTGTTCATCCAGCTTTACACCTTGTTATCAACAGTCTTGAGTGCTTTGAAAGTACCTGAGTTACTTCCTGCTAATTCAGATTTGCGGTAAGATATTATTGGATTTCAAGATTTTACAGTTCCAATCCTTGCAAAAGAGATATCAAAGATTGGGATATTTTTTCCAGTTCTATTCAAAGTCATTGACCTAAAATGATTTATCTGTTTCACTCTCCACATGCAGAATATTTCAGGCATTTGAGAGAGATAGTAGGAACTGCAGATGCTGGTGTAGAGATAACAAGGTGTAGAGCTGGATGAACACAGCAGGCCAAGCAGCATCAGAGGAGCAGGAAGGCTGACGTTTCGGGCCTAGACCCTTCATCAGAAATGGGGGAGGGGAAGGGGGTTCTGAAATAAATAGGGAGAGAGGGGGAGGCGGATAGAAGATGGATAGAGGAGAAGATAAGTGGAGAGGAAACAGACAGGTCAAAGAGGCGGGGATGGAGCCAGTAAAGGTGAGTGTAGGTGGGGAGGTAGGGAGGAGATAGGTCAGTCCAGGGAGGACGGACAGGTCAAGGAGTCGGGAGGGTGAGGACGAGTGAGAAGTTGTTGAGGGTGAGGACGAGTTCGGCTAAGCGGATGAGGGTGTCAGTGGAGGGGGACTGGTCGGGCCAGCGGGACAGGAAGAAGCAGAGGGCCTTTAGGCCTGTTCACCTGGACCATCTCTAACACCTCTCTCACCTTCCTGGACCTCTCTGTCTCCAATGGTATCAATGTGGATTACACAAGCTTCAAAATCTCCCCTCCCCCTACCGCATCCCAAAACCAGCCCAGCTCGTCCCCGCCTCCCTAACCTGTTCTTCCTCCCACCTATCCCCTCCTCCCACCTCAAGCCTCACCCCCATCTCCTACCTACTAACCCCATCCCGCCCCCTTGACCTGTCCGTCCTCCCTGGACTGACCTATCCCCTCCCTACCTCCCCACCTATACTCACCTTTACTGGCTCCATCCCCGCCTCTTTGACCCGTCTGTCTCCTCTCCACTTATCTTCTCCTCTATCCATCTTCTATCCGCCTCCCCCTCTCTCCCTATTTATTTCAGAACCCCCTTCCCCTCCCCCATTTCTGATGAAGGGTCTAGGCCCGAAACGTCAGCCTTCCTGCTCCTCTGATGCTGCTTGGCCTGCTGTATTCATCCAGCTCTACACCTTGTTATCTCTATTTCAGGCACTTCCTGTTTTTATTCCTGGTAACCTGACCTGACTTACCAATTGTGATGAGCTCACCTCCTGGCTCCTCAAAGTCTCCCCACCATCTACAAAGCATAACTCAGGAATGTGATGGAATACTGCCCAATTGCCTGGATGGCTGCAACTCTAAGAACACTCAAAAAGCTCAGCACTGTCTACCTTCGACCACCTTCAACATTCACTCCCCTGGTGCACAGTGGCAGCAGTATGTACAAGATGCAATGAAGCAACTCACCAAAACTCCTTCGACAGCACTTTCCAAAACCCACAGCCTCTACCACCTGTAAGGACAGGGCAGCAGGTGTATGGGAAAATCACAGCCTAGAGTTTCACCGCAGCATCCTGGTTCGCAATTGTTACACCTGTTCCTTCACTGTCACTGAGTCAAAATCCTGGAGCTCACTCCCTGACAGTACTGCGGGTGTACGCACTAAATGAACAGCAGCAGTTCAAGGATGCAGCTCATCACCATCTTCTCAAGGGCAATTAGGGATGTGGTATAAATGCTAGCCCAGCCAGAGACACTTACATCTCAAGAACAAATTTTAAAGAAGCATAAGTTGGCATCAATTAGGTAGAGTTGGACTCAACAATACCACCCTCCTCCCTACACTGGAGAACCCTGACAATACTTACTGAGCAGATCACTTGAGGAAACGGGCACATTTTCTTTTCTTTATTCTTTCATTTGATCACGGGCAAGGCCAGCATTTGTTTCCTATCCCTAACTGAGTGGCTAACCAGGCCATGTTAGAGAGCAGGCAAGAGTCAACCACATTGCAGTAGGTCTGGAGCCACATGTAGGACAGACCAGGTAAGGAAGACAGATTATTTAAGGGTGGCACCATTACTTATTCAGATTTCAGATTTGTGAACAGAATGAAAATTTCACTGGTGTGGTAGGATTTGAAACTACTCTCCTATAGTATTAACCTGGGCCTCTCAATTACTAGCTTAGTAACATTACCACTACACCTAGCTTTGGGATGAGGCCCAATATACTCTAGACAGAAGGAGGGAACAGTCATGCCATGATAAAAAAATGTCACTGCCTTTGAAGTTCAAGGTCAGTTAGGGATGGACAAGACCTCATTGCCAAAATTTACAAAACACAATATAGCTTGGCTGGTGGTGAGAAAAGCCTGGCCTATCAAATATTTCCTACATTGCCCTGGCGATGGCTGTGGAGTGAAACAGCCAGTTGACCACCTCCTTGTGGGATATGCTTTTGCAAAGAAGATCTGGAGAGTGATGCAGTAGTCCAGGTTTGTCCAAGGCATGAGGCAGGACTCTGTTCCAGGGACACACACCGAAACAAACACTGACTGTGCCTGGAGGACCATCAATTCAGTCAAAGATCCTCTTCAGTCTGTCTGAAACTTGCTGTTTTCCTCGTACAAAGAGTTATCCTCAACCAAGTGTGTCAGACTGGCACATTTCAAGGTCCAGCACTATGCTCTGAGGGATGCCCCAAGCTTGGGGCAGCTATTGCAGAGGCACAAAGGGGAAAGGTTGGTGTCTGAGGCTTTCGGCCACTGTACACTGACAGTCTGGGAACTGTAATACCCTCAGGCTGTGTGCCTTAAAGAATGTATGCTGGAAATGACATGAGGCACTTCCGAGGAATCATGTTGTATAGAGAAGTTCATATTGATTGCACTATTTGCATTTTGAAACAAAAACAAGAATTGCGGATGTTGGAAATCAGGAACAAAAACAGAAGTTGCTGGAAAAATTCAGCAGGTCTGGAGGCATCTGTGGAGAGAGAAAGCAAACTTAGTTCAGAACAGTTCTGAAGAAGGGTCACTGGACCCAAAATGTTAACTCTGCTTTCTCTCCACAGGTGTTGTCAGACCTGTTGAGTTTTTCCAACAATTTCTGTTTTTTTGTTGCATTTTGAAATGTCTTGCTGTCAAGCTGCATGGCTGATGTGGGGTGTTCTTCCTAAATTCAAACTGTTAAAACCATTCAAGTAGATTCTTTTTTTGGTTGCAAGTCCTGTAAGGTTCTAGTCAAAATGTTCATGCAATATTTTTGATGGCAAATATTATGAATAAAGAAAATTGGGATGGACAGTAAATGCTGGGAGTGTCAATAACGTCCACATCCTCAGAACAACTTAAAAAAAAAGTACTCTATCCTTGGTTCATGTGACTAACTCTCAGTGCAGTGAGGTAACTTATAAAATGATAGCTAGACAAACATGGACCCACACAGTCCACCCTGCCAAGTCTTCCATCATTAATTCCAGAAACTGGCATCACCAACAACAACTTAAATTGTTATAGCACCTGTAACACAATAAATAATCCAAATGATCTTAATGCCCTGAAGCTCGGTCACTGAGACACATAAGGAGATGGGCAAAAACATGGTCGCAGAGTTGGTTTGGAGCAATATCTTAAAGGAAGACAGAGAATTTTGGGGAGGGAATTTATTGAAACCTTTGTTATGCTCTCAACGATGCCACAGTTTAAGCAAGAACTCTACGTCCCTCCTACTAGCACATTATTATTCCTCATTTTTCAGATTTCCTTTTCATCCTTCTAAGACCCTGAACTCCAAACTGTCTTTGAATTCAGTGCCTGAGAAAAGTGCTTTATTCTGTGTGTCTATAAACAGCGTTGTTGTGTGCTTGGGACTATCTAGCCTCCCAACACACACTGTATTGGCATCGTGATCTTGTTTGCAAGAACTCTTTATTTTCAGCTAAATGATACGCATACATTGGACTCTCTCAGCCACTTAACACTGCTTTCCAGATCTCTCCAACAACTTGCCGGCTGACTCTGATATTATTCTAATGGATGCTTCTGTTTTTAATCAATTACTCTATACCAACTACAGTATAACGGGATACATATGTTAATAATTTGTGATAATGATACATTTGTGTACAGGATGATGTAACTGTGACAGAGCAGTCACATGCAATTGAGACTCTGTAAAGGGGTGAATGGAAGAGCTGTATTAGACAACAAAGGGCAATTTTCAGTATACTAGAGTATATATTAAAGAGTATGTTGGACCGGCTGAGAGACAGACAACATACACTCTTACACAAGGCAGAGACAGACTTGCAGGTTTGGGGCATTATAGTCAACAACAGCAGATCCAACAATGCAGGGCTAATCCCCAACACTCAGACTTCACAAAAACAAAGCTGCTGGAAAAGCTCAGCAGGCCTGGCAGCATCTGTGAAGGAGAAAACAGAGTTAACGTTTCGGGTCCG